CAGATAGAAGTGAGCACCTAATACTTGCAACTGCTGTCTGAAGGGGGCAGTCTTGTGGGACCTAACCCTTGACCTGTAGGGTCTGTGCTAACTCTGGGTAATTAGTATCAGAATTAAACTAGATTGTAGGACACCCAGTTGGTGTCTGCAGAGAAGTGAATTGCTTGGTGTGGAAACCCTACATGTTTGGTGTCTAAAGTGTTGTGAGTAGAGGGACAGTTTTCTTTTATTGGCATAATCTCGTTTTGGTTTCCTGAAGCCCTCATTATCATCTCTGAATTCTTTGTATTTTTTAAACCACAGCTTCAAAGACAAGTGGGATTATTGAGTCTTTGATTGGTTTGAACCTTTTATGAAGCCCTCTAACCAGTTTTCAGCATGTAGACATATAAAACAAGCTTTTATTACTAAAACTTGGGTTTGTTTCATTGAAATTAGTAGTTTGGTGCAGTTGAAAGAGCATTAGACTGGGAATCAGAGAATTTGGATCTAGTGTTGACTTTATGTAATCTCAGGCAGATTATTTTACCCCTCTTCACTCAGGGTTTCTCCTCTGGGGGCTGAGTGGGAATATATAAGAATGAACAGGCTTTTTAAAAGTACATTTAACCCTTCCTGCCTCCACCACCAAGAATGTAATTCTACATCATCTCCCACCTCCAGCCATCATTGTTAGGAGTGAGCCATTGTGTGTATTATAACCCTCAGGTGTACTGGTGTTGAAAAAGGTTAAATGCTATTGATCTTGAAGCTCTCTTCCAGCTCTGAAATTCTTACTGAAAGTTCATCAAACTTGAGTTACACATAGGCTGGTGTAAAAGTTGCAAATATTAACTTCTCAGTATACAATATTGGGAGGGAAAAGTCACCTGGTCTAAAGGGCATAAAAGATAATCAATATACATGGTTTCTTAGCTATTGATCAAGAATTACTATGTTTTAGTTCCTTCTCATCATAGATCACTATAATTTGGAGGCCCTCCCCAGTGCAGTACAAATTCTAGCCTTTCTCTCCTCCAGTCAACACACTGTTGTTGATAACACACAGGAACTTGTCATGGTTAGCAAAATTCTATACTCCATGAGGACAAGGGCTAGCTCTGATTCTGCTCACCATTGTACTGCCAGCAGTAGCAACAGTCCTGGTTCATAGTAGCCATTAGTGCCAGTAGTCCACTAGACCCAGTAGTCCATTAGGTGACTGAATAAACAAATGAATTTGGAGAGTATAAGGACCTACAGCCAAAAGGCTGTTCTGTTGACTTAACCATATACCCTGTCTCGCTAAATGCAGAAACAAGGAGATGAGAGAAGTTCCTGAAAATCCTTTTGAGTAAGGTAAGAATGAGCAGTTAAGAAACCTAAGACTGGCTTGAGATTTGGTTGGGACTACCCACTTAAATTTTAACTACCTGTGGCAAAATAAATCAGTCCTATCTGAATGAGATTTATGCTGAAATAATTTGGTCAAAGCTTAATCAAAATATTTTCTGATCCAATGATGAATAAGCTGGAAAAAAACCCATTTTTGTTCCCTTATTGGAAAGCTCTTAAACATATGAGCTCACTTTTCTGCTCAAGTGACATTTATTGAACAGAGTTTTGTTATGATTCAGTATCTTACAGGGTCTTAGGATTCATTGCAAACATAAATATATGGTATGGTATATTATGGACGTACTTAAGGAAGCTGGGATGAAGTTGCACTGACCCGGAGTAGGTTGAGTGAATGATAACCCACGTGGTTTGATTTGAGAGAGGCTGAAAAGCCTCCTTTTCCCAGAAATATCTCTCCCTTAGTTTCAGTACCTGAAATTCCAACGTTTTGACTCTTTCGATTAAGGATTATATGTGTTCAAGAGTCCTCTTTAAAAGGTAACTACTCCCAAGGGGACTAAGTCATTTATCAACCTGAATGAGGTCACTGGATGATGAAAGATCATGTTCACTAAACAACAGGTTACAGAACAGCTGCCTTTTGAAAGGGTGGCAAGGACAGAGGTAGGTCCTGAGAAATGAATCCTGCCTGAAGGATGCAGAACTGAGGGAGTCACTGAGCTAGTAGGAGCATGGGAATCTGAGGTATTTGGAAAATAAGGTGCCACAAGGCCAGGAAGGGAACTGAAAGGAAAATCCCAAAGGCACCACTTCAGATGAACCTCATGTACTTCCCAATTTTGCCCAGCAAGGGTTTCTGCCAGGGCAACATGTGCTCTAGATTTTTAAATGCAGATTTTTTTCCATTTTTTTTTTCCTGTCAAACTCATTATGTTGATTTCAGCTCAGTTTTCAAGCTATCAAGATCATTTCAAATCTTGATTCTGTCTTACAGCATAGTAGCTATTACCCCAGGAGAAGTCATCCACAAATTTATGAAGGCTGCCTTCTGTGTTTTTATCTAAGTCACTGGTTCTTAATCTTGGATTCAGGGAGTCTTTAATTAATCCATTAAAACCGTATGTGACATTGTGTGTATAAGCATTTTTCAATGGAGAGGTGTCCAGAATTTTCAGCAGATTCTCGAGGTGATCCATAACCTCAAAAAAGGTTACAAGCCACTGATCCAGCTATTCATAAGTATTTTGAGCAAAACAGTGCTAATGAGGACAGAGCTCTATAAGACTGCCATTAGTGCCTTCTTTTCTAGTTAGCACTGATCCATCAGAAATTTGGGGGCATAGTTGTTGACTATTACATGTCAGTCTTTTTTCTTGTGATTGGCCTTTATCATAACAGTAGAAGGGAAAAATGAATTTCAGCTACTTGGGCATTCTGAGTGGCATTGAGATGTTTACACTGTTATTGTTTCATTTTTAATCTCCAGATATTAGGTCATTCTTAAGACCTTCATCATTTTGCTTCCTGTACCCATCAGACGCCATATCATGGTATCATATTTAGTCTGTGAATGGAATTATAGGAGCTTCAAAAATCCCTGAGATTGGCCGGGCGTGGTGGCTCACGCCTGTAATCCTAGCACTCTGGGAGGCCGAGGCGGGCGGATTGTTTGAGCTCAGGAGTTCGAAACCAGCCTGAGCAAGAGCGAGACCCCGTCTCTACTAAAAAAATAAAAAGAAATTAATCGGACAACTAAAAATATATAGAAAAAATTAGCCGGGCATGGTGGCGCATGCCTGTAGTCCCAGCTACTCGGGAGGCTGAGGCAGGAGGATCGCTTGAGCCCAGGAGTTTGAGGTTGCTGTGAGCTAGGCTGACGCCACGGCACTCACTCTAGCCTGGGCAACAGAGTGAGACTCTGTCTCAAAAAAAAAAAAAAAAATCCCTGAGATTGGCTGAAAATTGACACATCAAAGAAAATACGTAAATAAAAGCTTGCTATCTCTTCTTTCCATGGCTCTGGACAAGAGTAATGTTAACTTCCATTTCAACCCACCTTAAAACCTACAAAGACTCTACCTCAACGTGTGTACGTGTATGATCTATATAAAAAGGAGTTTGCAGTTTAAGAAAATCCTTTACATAAAAATCTGGATATGGTAAGTTAGAAATTCATTGCTTCATTTAAAAAGGATTCACCTCAGAAGGAAGTCAGACACAAAAAAGTACATACTGTATCATCCCATCTGTATGAGAGTCAAGAAAAGGCAAAGCTAATCTCTAGTGATGGAAAACAGATCATTGGTTGCCTAGGTCCAGGGCAGTGGTGGGATTGCACAAAGGGGCATGAGTGAACATTTTCAGCTGATGGAAATGTTTTCCTCTAGATGGGTGTGGTGGTTCCATGGGTGTGTACTCTATCAAAATTCATCAAATTGTATACTTGAAATGGCTGGTTTATTGTACATAAAGTATGCCTCAATGAAGTTGTTTATAAAGGGATTTACCTTAGTAGTCATTAAAATGAGATTTTATTATTATTTATTGAGCCTTAAAGATTAAAATATGATTGATTTCACAAGTGAAAAGGTAAGTCTACCTATACATTTCCTCAAGGTGGGATGTGGGAGAAATATGATCACAAAAAGCTTTTTAACAGGGGAAGAAGAAGTGATATCAATGCATTTGAGTTAATATTTAGCATTTATACAAGACCGATATGTCTATATTGATGTTCAAATGTACCAACAGTAAAACAGATTATTTAAATAATCAGTTAAGAGTATCTAAAATAGATAACAAGTGCTCATTTAGAACACTTTCCTAGTGTGCTCTGCAAAGTAGATAGCATCAGACATAGTGATAACATAATAGCTCATTCAAAGCTAAATGGTAATGTTTGCCTATACATTATTTGGCATTTAAAAATCACGTTATTTAAAAATTTTGCTAGGCTCAGATATTGGATACCAGGGTGACTCCTTGGGAAATCTAACATGATGAATAGAGCATTAATTACAAGACCTGGTTTTAAATGCCATGGACCAATTAATATGTACCCTTTACACATTCTCCTCTGTTATTTTTGGAGAAATTTTTTTCAACCTAACCCTAACCCTAACCCTAACCCTAACCCTAACCCTAACCCTAACCCTAACCCTAACCCTAACCCTAACCCTAACCCTAACCCTAATACTGGTGAATTATTTTCTTAGTAATCAATATAAAAATGAATAGGGAAGCCCTGACAAGTAATGCTAGAAATAATATTGAATCTAATTAGTGCCACCTTGTCAACATGTGCATATGGAAGATAATGAAGGGTAGCTCTTAATAAAAATAGAGAAATAAGATTTTCTGAAATACAACACGAGTACTGTTGCAAAACTCTTTCAACTAAGTTAGAAATCACTTGCCTTGTCATTTGTTAGGCTTACATGTTAGTAAAATTATAAGTACTCTATACTGGTAAAGCAGGAACACTTGCATTGATTTAGTAGTTATCTTGGCCTGTTTATTCTGGATTCGTAGTTGTAATGAGCACCTTATTAGAGAAGGGTTGGTCAACATAGAGGGAGGAGGTGGGGGCTGGTTAGGTCAACTGAATTCCAAATGCCAGTAATGGGTTTCTTAGTGATGGATGCTGTACTTGGGCCACCAGCTTACGCCTTAACCACTCCCTTCTCCTCATCACAAAGAGGCTCAACTACGACCCCAGGCTCTGGCTCTGGCTCTGGCTCTGGCTCTGGCTCTGGCTCTGGAAACAATTCCAGCTCCAGCTCCAGCTGCACCTCTGGCTCCAGCTGGATCATAATCTCAGGTATAGGACTAGGCTCTGGTCCTTGGGCAGGCTCTGTGGTAGGCTCTGGGGGAGGCCCTGGATGTTGGATAGGCTCGTGGTCTGGCTCCCGAATGGTGGCAGTGTCATGAGTGGAAGATGGTAAAGTTGCTTCTAGTTGGACGGCGTCTTCTGTTGGCATTGTTTCACTCTCTGCACCTTTCTTTGTCATTGGTCTGCAAGAAAGATGGCCCAGAAAAGAATAAGTTAAGGAAATGCTAACTTTCAAAATTTCATGTGGAGCCAAATGCTCTGTAGCTTAAGTGACCATAGCTCTCAAACTGCAGGAAGTCTGTTATTTCTCCTATTCTGACTCACTCTGTCAGGTCATATGTCTCCATTTTGAGTTCAGGAAGGTTAGACCTCAACAATATAATGAAAGTTCAAGAAAAACACAGACCAATGTTTAAAAAGTGGGAAAACTGATGATGCCAGGATGAAAGAGTCTAAGAATCTAATAAGGTCTTTGAGGACCAAATCCATAGCTCCAATGCATCTCTATCTCCCACTACATCTAGCACAATACTTGGCACCTGGTGGATACCCACTACATAGCCGTGGAAGCAAGAAGATGGAGGGATGAACAAATGAATGAGTGTGACATACACTAGAGAAGAAATAGCAGAGTGGTTAAGAGCACAGGCTAGGTATGAATATAAAAAATCCCCTCATCTAATGGGTGCCGTGCGCACTTTCTGGGGAATGGACATGCTTTAAGCTCTGAGTCGGGTGGGGCAAAGGCAATATATGTAACCTAAACATTTGTACCCCCGTAATATGCTGAAATAAAATAAAATAAAATAAAATTACACTGAAAAAAATCAAAATAAAAAAAAAAAGGAGCACGGGCTATGGGCAGGGCCACATTCTAACTTCTGTGGGCCCTAGGCACTTTTTCCTCTGTGGGCCTCTTGTTCCATAAAAAATATTTAAAATTATATTTTATGACTATGTTGTTATAAAGGCAAGTATGTTGATATTATATAATAAAACATTTTCTTGTACCTAAAAGGGTGGTTGTGATGGTTAAGTGAATTGATATATGTAAAGTGCTTAGAACAGTGTGGCACACAGCACTCAGGAAATGCTCGCCATCATCGTTTTCATAAAAGCAGCGAGAGTAAGCAGAAAGATACCTCTGATATCGTACGCTAAAAGGAGTGCTTAGGAATTGCTGACTGAAAGAGACATGCCTGAGAAATGTTTGTGTTCCAGTAAAGAAAACAAAATGAGGGCTTACTCAAGTTCCGTGATGGTCTTAGAATTTCTCTTCCTTTCTTTTGCCTTTGCCTTGTTCCTTGCGAAGCACACAATAGAGGTGATGATGGCAGCACCTACCAGGGAACCTACCAAGGCCACGATGATGATTACAACTTCTAGATCTGGAGGACACGAGAAGCTGGTTAATAAAGTGGACCATACTGTCATTTTATACATGTGCATTTGTGACTAGTGGGGACTATTTGGGGCATTCACATAGCGGGAAAGTGACTTGCATAGGCTAGAAAAATGGAAACCCCTAGAACTCTACCAGTTGGACTCATACTGGGAGAAGAAAGATGACTGGCTTGACTATGTAGCTTTAACCATTTATACACATAAAGAATAAAACACGACGACTTGGAGGAGGCAGAGTTGCTTTCAAAATGGGTTTTTTTCTTTTTTAGTTCAGCATATTATGGAGGTACAATGTTTAGGTTTAGAGAAGAGAGTCTTCGGTGTGCATTTGCTTAACTAGTAAGAGAGATGCCATGGCGTTGTGATCTGGTCACCAGAGATACGCCTGTGTTATAGGCAGAGACGTTTCACCAGGCTTTCCCAGAGCATAGGTAAAACAGGTCCCTAAAAACCTTCTTCTCCCCCACAGCATCCACGCTCACTAAGGCATTCTGGCCACTAAGAAAGGATATGCCCATTTCAGTAAACAGGCATCTGGTTTATTACATCGGTCTATGGAAACGCTTAATGAGTGTGAGACAATCCAGCTGTGCACCAGACCTCCAAGCCCTGGGACATCATGTCTCGCTTGTAAACCGGCCCATCCCCATCTGCTTCCCCTCAAACAAAGGCGGACATGTTATATTTTGAGATGAGAGGCTAGTTGGGTTGCCTGATAATAATTCCTTTAACTTTTTGTGATTAAAGGAAAGTGAAAGGAATACATGGGAATAATTTTAAAAGTCGAATAATTCTATGAAACTTCTAACAAAAACAGCAGTCCTCTGCCCCATTCCTTCCCACTTCTCAATCCCATTCACTAAAGGCGACCACTCTTTTCTTTTTAATCTTCTTGTCCCCGTGTTTCTGTTATGCTTGCTCCGATATGTCCTGCCTTCTTCAGTTTTCATCATTTCTTTTGCACTTCCTACTCTGGAAGTTGGAGATTGAGCTCTTCTGCACCACTCCCCTCCCAGCCCACCATGGTATTCTAATAAAGTTCTATCACAAGTTCTAGTTAAATTGAAGTTTGCAGTATTATGACTATGGAAATATTGTTCACAGCTGAGGAACATAGTATACTATGATTCTTTCTTGGACAACATTTTCAAAAAATTTCTCTGGGGTTAATAAGTGCCTCACTGATCCTCAAATTTTCAGCAAAACCATTAAACACCTTTCAATAGATTCAAACACATTAGATGATCTATTGGTTTCTTATGATTTTTTTCCCTCAGAGACATGCCTTCTGGAGTCCTCCATCCTCTTCCCCCAGCATAGATTTGTTGCCCTCCTAAGCCTGTGCTCTACTGTCACCTTCAACATCTCCATTTTATAGATAAAGAAACAGGCTTTGTAAGTTCCTTCGAGATCCATCTCAAATAGCACTTGGTCAGTAACGCTATCCTCAGTTCTTTAATTGTTCCTGCTTTGGTGTCCTATAGACCTTGTACAGACCTCTATTATAGCATTTAGCACATTTTAGGGATTTTTTTTGTTTGTCCCTCTAGCTAAACTATGAGCTCTTTGAGTATGGGACATATTTCTTCTTAATCTCTGTGTCTCCATCACCTAGGACAGTCCCTGGCACATAGTAGATATTCAATAAATGTTTGAGGAAGCAAGGAAGAATGGAAGGAAGGAAGGAGGGAGGGAGAGAGGCAATGCTGGACTTCATTGGAAAGAAGATTAGAAAGGAAGCAACCCTGGCATCCAAATCCTAGGTGGCTCTACATCTGCAGTGTGATTGTACCCCTAGGAAGGCAAAAAAGGATTGGGGGAGATCTAAAGAAAGACAACAGAAATGATGCAGGGAGAATTGCTGAAAGTGATATGAGAATGAAGGAGCAACCTTCAGGACAAATAAAAGGAGGAAAGCTCAGCTGCATAGGAAGAGCAAAAGTCCAATGGAATCTGCCACCCTGGATGTGGCATATATTAAAACCACAAATTCAAAGTAAGTTAGAAAAAGTGACAAGATCCTAAGTGTTATCAAGTGATACTTGAGAGGTTTGGCAGCACATCCCTTGTGAGGGCTTGTTCCTGGGTCAGCCCAATTTGGCAATTCCAGGCCCTTATGTCTTAAGCTCAGAGAGTAATCCTTCCTTTGGATAGGAAGATTGAGGTTTACGGGCATCTCTGCTCTGCCAGTTGCTAACTGGATGACCTTGGGCAAGTCATTTATCTCCCCGAGCTTCAGTGTTCTTTCAGTAAAACGAAGCTAACAATATATTCTGCCTCCCTAGTGGGTGGTTGAGAGGGTTGAGTGAGGTAATGCTTGTACGGCACCTGGTCAAGTGTCTGGCACAAAATTTATGCTCCACAAATACTAGCTCCTGTGCTTGTGGGTGTGAGTGTGATTATTACTATTATTCTTAGGGGTAGATCTTAACAAAGCAGTTAAGAACTAGAAAGTTTGAGAGCTATATGTTTTCCAAAGCTACAGTGTCACTGGGATTTACCAACAGCATCACAAAGAGATACTCAGCCTGATGCTATCAATGAGGGCATTGTTTTATTTATTGAATAGTAATACCTACTTTCTAGAGATTTTGTGAAGCTTAAACAAATTACTTTTTGTAAAGGATTTAGGGCAGTGTGTGGCACCTATTAAGTATTACATAAGCATCGGATATTAGGATGGTCATTCATCATGTCAACCTATAAATCAAGCACACAAATCTGCAGAGAAGCAGGAAGCACTAACCAGGAATCCTAATTAATTCATTGGGCTGACAGGCCCAGACTACTTGACTTAAGGAGAAGAACCTGTTAAAGTTGTATGGTCAACTCACGTGAAGAAGTTAGATCGATTTCACAGGAACTGTTGCCAAGGCTGTTGGTAGCAGTACACTGGTAATAACCTTGTTCAAAATTTGTCAGATTTCCAATAACCAAAGTCCCGGTGGTTGGGTCTGTTAAAACCAGGAAATAGACTTTTGAGTTCTCTTATGTGGGTACAGATCACGCTAGTGTAACAGACCATTCAATGCCCACTCACTTTCCCAGATTGGCCTCTCTCGAGATATCCAGGGTTGAACTGGGCCCCTGGGGACCGTTCCAAAGGTAGCTTACCTGGAGCCGTGCCCATTCCCTCCATGCTCACCACCTCTGAGCTGGCTTCTAGAAGTTGGGGAGTAGACCTGACCATAGTCATGTTGGGAGAAGAGTATTCTTTATACATCTCCCATCCCCACCCACCCAAGTAAAAGAGAAGATTGAGCTCTAAGGACAAACAGCTAGCCACACACTCCTGCTGTCAGCTAACCACAAACACCAGGTCTTTCCAGGGCCTGCTGAAGGTGATACTTACTTGCTTTCACTGGTATGATGTTGCTTCCTTCACGTTTATACCAGTAGTACACAGGGGAAGGTGTTCCAAATGCAGAGAGGCAGGAGAGAGAGATGGTATGGCCGATTTCTGGTCTTCCTTGAATGCTACAAAAGGGCTTAGAAGGTTTGACTGTAAGGTAATGACAAAGAGTAAAAGTCCTGCAGGATGAATGGCAGTCTGTGACAATTGCAGTCACTTCCTCGCTTTCATTTTTGCAGAATATGTGTTTATTAAAAAAAAAATTTATTTTGACAGTTTTCTGGTTGTACCACCAGGTGGGAGTAGAGCACTTCTGGTGCAGGCACTTTCCATCAGGAGGCCATTAAGATTCAAATAGCGTTTCTTCTGTCTGCCTCCTCCCCAGATTTATAACCATGAATTTCTGCATTGTGTCTTAAAATATTCCTTTATTAAAACGGCCAAATGTAAGCAAATACTAAACGACTAGGAACATAGTTTATACTTTAAACGCACAGTTTTTAAAGGAAAATAGAACCCTTTGAGAGACTTTGAGATAACCTGTTATTTATTCTTTTTAAAAATTATTTTATTAATGAATTAATGCTGTAATTTTCTTTTCTTTCATAAGTCCTTTTTTTTTGCATTTATTCATCTGTGGGTGACACAAAATGGTTGAAAGGTTTGAATTTGCCTGTGTCCCTCACCAGTAGGGGAACCCATTTGGGGCACATGTGCTACCCAGCCCTGAAATCTTTATTCATCGTTCACTCAACAAGCATTTAGTTGTGTGCCTTCTGTGTGCCCGGCGCTAGAATAGGCACCGGGTATTCAAAAATAATTTTGACACAGTTCTGAAGTGGGGTGGGGGAGTGATGAGAGGCAAGTTTAGAGAGGGGCAGAGGCCATATCTTCGAGGGCTTTGCATTTCGTGTATTTTATACTGAGAGAAAGGGGACCAGGGAAGGAGCTTAAGTAGGGGAGTGAGGGTCATTTTAACATTTTAGATGGGTCGCTCTGACACTGGGAGTGCCTGAACCAAAGGAGATACATTCAAGAGGTATTAAGAAAGTTGAATCAATAGGACTTGGTGACCAACTGGTGTGGAGTATGAGGAAGAAGGTGGGGTCAGTGATGACCCCCAGTTTTCTGATTTGGACAGTTGAGTACATGATCGTACCATCTCCTGAGACAAAGACCACAGGAGGAGGATCAAGTTTTAGGGAAAGGGGTGACAAGGAGGAAGGGGGTGATTAATGAAGTCAGTTTGAGACATACTGAGCTTTAGCCACTTATGAAAACACCTCAGTAGAGAAGTCCTGCGGGAAGCTGGGAACCTGAATCTACTTATTCATCTTACTTTGCACAGTTTATTCTATCCTTAATCTTATATACAGATAATGATCTAGATTTCTATGCTTTCCAACTCACCTTCCTTATCTTAATTTGGATACGGAACCCTCCAAAGTCTTAGGTCTCTAACTTAGATGAGTCAGAGCTTATTAATAAATGCTTCGTACTGCTCAGCCCTCCAGCTGTTGCCTGAGACACAGTGGTTAAAAGCAACGCTCTGAATTAACCCAGAATACTGGCTCTGCAACTTTACCCTAGATATGTTTAGGCAAGTTACCTAACTTAACCAAACCTCAGTTGACTCATCTGTAAAACACAAATAAGGGATTATCTAACCTCTGGCTGATTCAAAGATTAAATCTAATAACACATACGGGGCCTTGCATGTGGAATTGCTGTTGGCCACAGGCAGGACTAATTCCTGCTACTGAAGTTAATCTTCCATTGACTTCTGCTCGACTCAGCCATCTCCGACTCTACCCCTCTGTACACATGAGTGAGAAGACAGATGCATACAGCTATAACTCTGAAACATTTCACTATCTCTGTCTTTTAAATGAGTGTCTTTGAATTAAAAGGAGTATTTTTCCACTTAGCTCTTTATTCTTTCTTCCTTATCAATAATTTTCTCAGATAGGAACAACTTGTTGGATTTGCTTATCCTAAACTAGGCTATTTAACCAGAAGTCCATTACGGCTATCACCTTTGTTTGGATATCACCTTTTTAAAAAGACAACGATTTTCTAGCCTTTACAGCAAAATAGAATGATTTGAATAGAAAATTAAATGGGGGTGTTTCATCACAAAGTGAGGCACCAGGACTTGAACTAAATTATGGACAAATATCTGGAATGACTTGCACTCGTTTCTTGAGTCCAGAATCAAACTCAGGTAGACTTTTTTTTTTTTTTTTTTGCTGAACACATTTTTCTCCTTTTATTTTTTTATTAACAAAACACTTAGGGAATCACTTTGAACCAAGTCCCAAACCTATATATTTTCTAAAACTACTGTGTCAGGATTGAACTGACATTCCATCCAGTTAAAGTCCCCAGTAGAACTTGGGTGTTTTACTGGCAAAGCCATTGATCTACCATTTAGCTTTATTGCTTTCAACAGAATTGGGGTGGGAGGAAAAGGCCCATCTCAGAAAAGAAATGAAAATGCTTCAGTGTTCTCAAAACTTCTCTAAATTAATCATTTTCTTTGTATGTGCCAAATTGCAGAAGGTAGATGATGCTCATTCCAAATGCACACAAAATAATTATTCAAACTCTGAGTGTTTTTCAGAGATTAATTTTCCAAGGTTGTCATATCTAATGGAAATCTCTCAAATGAATGGCCATCCAAGCCACCTGGTCCTTTGCTCATTGCTATTTCCTCCACCTAAATTGTGCCCTGCCACCTCAGCCCCTCTTCTGCCTGACATATTTTTGCACATCCTTCAACATCCAGTACAAAAGTCACTTTCCCCAATAAGCCTTCTCCAGTTCCCCTGATAAAGCTTTTCACTCTTTCCCCTCTGCCCTCATAGCTCCACTGTAAGCTTTTATGTTACATATCTGTCATCTGTCTCCTTTACTAGACTGAATTTTGGAGGGCTGGGTTCCTCTTTTACATCTTCCTGTCTCCATTGCTTAGCACAGTAACTAGCACATGTGCTCAGGGTTTGTTGATTGAATTCCTGCATGAATGAGTGAATACATGGGATCAATGCCCATCACTATAATGAAATGTCTCTGAAAGACACATTGCTATGACAGCCATCTTTAAGGAAATAACACCTCTCCCCCCAATTGGTCTCTGTTACCTAGTTGTTCTTTTTAGAGAAAATTAGCAGTCTCAAAATTTCCAGAAATCCTACATTTGCAGGATGCTTTTGTTCTTTGTCCAATTAAAAAAAATACAATTTTTGAGAGTTCCCAAACAAACCAGGAAACCTACAGACCCTTCTGCCTCTTACCTTGTCTGAGTCCTGTCTGCTTAAAGAAAAGTCATGACATAGTCATGGCAGGAACTGCCTGACCCAAAGACTCATGGAAAAGAATAACTCAGAGACAAAGTGACCCTCAACTTGTTATGGAAATTGACTTGGGATCCTCTGAACTTTAAATTTAAGCATGGTAGCCTTCTTGTCTAGCCTTATATCAAGGCTATTTCCAAGCCCTGGGATAAGGAGGTTCGGCCTCTTTAGGTTGTTTCTGCTCAGAACACCCCAGAGCCAGGGAGCAACAGAAAATCATTAGCAGATCAATCTCTCAAACATTTAAACATTTAAAAACCCTTTGATTTCTAGTATTTCATTTGAACCTCATAACAAATCTGTAAAGAAGATAGGGCAGAAATTACAACCCCATCTCACAATGGTTGGAGAAAGGTGGACTGACTTGCAGGAGGTGATTGAGTACAGAGTAGGATCTAGAACTTAGTTCTCCTGACTCCTAGATTGATGCTTTGGCATTTACACCACACCATTCACTTCCCGTGTATATGCCTAGTCTTCCAAACTGGAACATAAACTCTCCCAGGAAAGTGCTTCTGTAATACCTTGCCTGTCTGCCCTTGTACCCCAATGCCTAGCACAGGGCTTAGCAAAATAAAAACACGATTGATTGAGCTAACCCACTCTTAAAAATTAGCTCTTGGGTGCCTTTCCCTTTTTTCCAGGTGGGTAGGTGCAGTGGCAAACCTCACAGTAAATATCAGCTGGTTCCTTCTTGGCATCACCTGGATGGCAGGCCAGGACAACTGTGGACAGTTCTTCTAGGTGTGTACCTTGTTAGCAATTGCTGCTTTCCCAAGCTATTCAATTATTAAGTCACTGATTTGATCTAGCTCCTCCTTTCCTGTGATGTATGTACACAGCTTGAGAGGAGCAATGACTAGATCAGCTCCATTTGGGGCTACTTAGACTTGGGAAAACACTTAGTTCAACTGGTCAGTCAGTAAGGGTTGGCAGCCCTTTCTTCCCTCCCTTTGCTACTTCCCACCCCCAGGGCCGGCAGACAGGAGCTTAGCCCCCACTGCCCTCTCAGACAGAGGTTGGAAGGACCCCTAGAAATCTCCAAAATTGGGAGCTCCCCAAGGGCAAAAACTATGCCTCCATCACTGTAAACCTCATTGTTCCTGGCACAAAGTAGGCACTCAATAAATACTGAATAAATGAACTACTCCAAATTCATTTTAAGAGCAGATATGACTCGCCCAGTATCATATAATGATTATTTTTATATAAATAACTTGATTCTCAACACTAGCTTAATATGTGGTCCCTTTTCCAAACAGCATTAGCATCTTAAAAGGGGACTCTCCTGCCTTTATTCAAAAGAATGATTTAATGGTGAGAATTGTGGTAGGCTTAGAAGGAGTAATAAATTGACAAACATCTCCCCCAGGTAGGTCTGGCTCTAATCGGAGGTTCCCTCTGAAAGAGTTGCTAGTGATCATTTAATGGGATAGTGGTTATCCCATCTGTTCTCATTCTGTCCTTCAGAGATAGGGATCCCTGATGTTGGGTCACACATTGCTGCCATTTTGGCAGCCCTTTTGCTTTGGCAATTGTTTCCACGTGTTTTGGGAGTGATTTCTCAGTGTTACTATATGGGTTGGGTTGGTAGCTTGTCTCTATTTTCCTGGTAATGAAAGGAGCAGGGAGGATATTTACCTCCAGAGACTTAATTGGCATCATAACTCACTGCCCTGGCTCATTCAGTGTCCTAACTTGCTCCAAGAAGAGAAAAGGCAGAAAAAAGTGCCCATACCTAACACGTTGACGTTGAGGGTGCCTTGGTTTTTGCCGACAAAGTCTGGGGGGTTGTTAACATCACAGATGTAAACTCCACTATCTGCTGGCTGCACATGCGAAATAGTGATAGACGCATTACCTGGAGTGTTGGACCCTACAACGCGATCTTTAAATCGCCCAATGGCTGTACCTTGTCCACCTTCAGAATAGTAGACCTAGGACAGAAAAATAAAATAACAGACATGAGAATTGCAGAGTGTCTAGGACTAGGATAAGCTACCTGGAAGCTCCTTCCATCCATGCTAGGGATTGGTATGCCTATCTTACAGAGGAGGAGACAGCTGGAGCTGATAGGCTTCAACTTCTAAGCATGGGCACCTGATGCTCGCCTGATGAGACTTGGAGGAAACTTATTATATAGGACCCAAAAATCTGATGGGAAACAAAAACAACCATTTTTTTTTTACCACTTTATAAACTTTTTTGACTTGAGTCATCCAGTGGGACTGTCTGGTTTCCCTAAAAGTTCCAATGTTCACGCTCCTTTCATACACACATACTCCTTTGGATAAGCAAAGTTGGGTTTGTTTTATTTGTTAGAAGAGTAAGATTTCACAGCAGAAGTGCTCCCTGAGAAATCATCTGGTCCCATCTCTTCATAGTGATGTGAGGATGAAACAATGGAATCTAATAAAGGGCCTAGGAAATGTCTAGTAAATGTAGCTACTATCTTTTTCCCCATGTGGCATGAAGCAGAACTGGAATTCTTTATATCATCTAGACAAATAAGGGAACTCAGAGCCAGAGAGATTAAACGACTCAACTAAAGCCACAAGAATTCATTTATTACTATTATAATTTACTAAACTTAAGAAAGATCTGGATTCTACTACCATCTCCATTAAAGAACATGAATACTTAGATTATAATGGCAACTGTGGGAGCAGCGTGACATGGTAGAAAGGAGCCTGGTCTAGGAGTCAGGTGACCTGAGTTAGCTGCAGCTCTGCCTCTCACTATGACATAGTCAGGGGAGGTGGCTTCTGTCATGCCTCCATGGCAACCTGCTTTTAGATAAGAAACAAAGCTATTTAATCTCTCCAACCTTTAGTTTCCACATTGGAATGAGGAACCAGAGCAATGTTTTCCAAAGTAGGATATGTATTCCCTGAGTATTGGTATTTAAGTTGATTTTAGGTGACACATAAATGAAAACTTTCAAATTTTAATGTATATTAGAAAGACACTTACCTAGCACATCAAATCTGTGACCTCATGGATACTGTTGCTTAGGGTGAGACTAAGGTAGATATTTTTAACATTTTAAGAAACAAGGTCATTACAGAAAACATTAAATAATTAATCATACTGGTGATACATAAATATGACAAAAATCATGTAAATGGTACATGAATGACAAGTTTGGTAATCACTAGACTAGGTAATCCCTAAGGTCCCTTCATAATACACACTTTCTATGTATATACTTTGTTAGTTTCATGTAAATGTGTATAATTCAAGTGATTGTTGTCTATTTTTCAATAAACTGGTATTTCCTTAGTCCAGTGAAATGAATTAACATTTTCATAAAATCTACTAGAAGGCCTTACGGTTCATTTCATTCATTCCTTTCACTTTACAGAAGAAACTGAAGCCTAGAGAAGTTAAAAAAAAATAAACACACACACACACAGAAAATTAACCGTTGGGACAGATCTAGAATCCAGTTTCCCTAATCTCTTGTCCTGTGTGCTTTACCTTAATAGGCCAATGAAAGAAGAAAAGCAGTTAGAAAGCCAAAAGGTATTGTCTAAATAAATTAAAATGTATTCTCCTTTAAACAGAAAGTCAATATCTTTTAAAACTAAGGCAGAGAGGTAGATTCTGAAGGAAAAATTCAAAGAAAAGAGCATATTTAAGGAGAAAACAACTTATCTCTCTCCCCTGGTTTTTCTAACAACATCATGCTTTACAATCCGTTCATTTACTCCCACTAAAATCACAAACTTTTGCCCCAGAATGGTCTTGTTTAACTTACAAACCAGAAAGCCAGTGTTAACTAAGATATTTAAGGGAGAGAGGAGGAGGTTCAACTCATCAGAGGTCTGTTACCTTCATTTGAGTTCACCTCCCCCGCTACCCAGCTTTCAATTTCACTAGCCAGAACCGGACTCATCTACTTTCTAATTGACAATTTGAGGTCCTATTGTTTCTTACCTGAAATTCAATCTGCTGTCCATCAAAAGCCCTTCACAGTCTTGATATCTGTCCACTTCCCCTCCCTCAAGAAGACTGTGGACAGCACATAACATCAGCCCTGTTTTATACTGATGCTTGATGACATCACAATGAGATACAGCATCAATCCTGCCTGAGGCCCACAGTTAGCCCCAGAGGATCCAGTTGAAAAGGACCTTGTTTCTGCAGAGCTCAGGGGGCCAAGAGAGTGTGTTTTAGGCCAGGACTAGGGCATGAAAAGAAGCCATTGTAGAAGTCTCATAGTTGGGCATGAATCAAAGTGAAATGAGGATATAAGCAATGAGGCCCTGGGCCCTTAATGTACCTGTGAAAAGGATCCTCACCAGCCCTTCTAGCTCCCCACACTGTAGCCTAATAAATTTTGCCCTCTCATGAGTGACACTAAAGGGTATCAGAGATCCCAATCAGGGTAAAGGGGGAAAACAATGGAGGCCTAAAAGGACAAGGCCTTGGCCTTAGGGTGCTATGTGAGAAGGAAAGTCCCCAGGGCTAGACAGTGGCCAGACACATAGATACAGGGGCTTTCTGTTGAGGGAAGTCCACATTGTCACACTGTCCTTGTAAAGAAAAAAAGAAAGAAATATTTTCCTGAAACTGCTTATCTAATCACACAGGAAGGACTACAGCTTGGTTCCATTTTCCATGAAAGAATAACTCTTTTTAAAAATCAAAGTTGAACAATGGCCAAGGCCTAGCCCCATGATTCTGTGTGACTTGTACAGTTTTCAAAGAAAGAATATTGTCAATTTAGAGATCAAAGCAATTGAGATCCAGGAAAAGCCACAGATATTCAATTGGCCACATCTTTTTTTGGTGAGTGAGAGGGGCGAGTCGTGCTTTAAGAAAATCCATCCAAGTGTTCCCTGAAGTGGTGCTTGATAATCTTTTGCCCATTTGCCTTTTGTGTCTGTATTCATGGCAGGTTGCCTTGCTTTCTCCAAAGGTTTCCTCTGGCTGTCCCCTGGGTGATGCTAGAGGCTGATGTGTGTAGTCACAATAGCACATTAGTTATAAGAAGCTCTTAGAGATCGCTTAGTTCATGGTCTCTAAGGTTAAGGAGCCTTCTGGAGCCAGGTGGATATTGGAAATATGGGAAATGGCTGGGAGGGGCTGGTGGGTAGGGGTCAGATCATAAGGGACGGTTGGGACTGTGGTGAACTGGAGTGCCAGTGCAAACAAGGCATTCACACTGCTGAAACAAACAAGCAAAATACTGGCCTGGCCAACTGAAATACATTCATTAGCCAAATCTGGCCCAGAGGCCTTCAGCTAGCAAACTCCAATTCTTCCTCTTCTATTATAAAGGACACTAAGGCTCCAACAGAGAGAGTGACTTTCCCAAGGTCACATAAGCAATTTACAGGCAGACCTGGAATCCAGACCTCCTGATTCCCACTGAATGCATCAAGATGACACTCATAGTCCTGTCTGAAATCAGAAAGATGATTCCCCAGCAAACTTCTCCCTTTAGGGACATTCCATCCCCTACTCTAGCCCAACCTTTCTCCTGCCAATTGCTGCTATTCCTTGGCATGATGCTTCCCATGCCAGTGTGCTCACCACATCATGCCCTCAGCATTAGCCAGCTGCAATTGTAGCCCCCTTGGTTCTTTGCAGAGCAGCCTTTGCGCTCCTACTGTGCCAAGTTCCTGTTCACGTGAAGCCATGAAGCTGGGAGCCAGATTGGTCCTAAAAGATTTTTTTCTTCAGCTTGGTGACTCTGCTTTCTAACTAGAGGCTTGGAGCATCAACAAGAAGGGTTGAAAGAATTCAATCTTATTTCTATTTTGAGTCTGAGTTGGAGTTACTAAATACCTTTATCTTCCACAGCTGCTTTTGCAGGTTCCTTTTGGGAATATGGAGGGCATGGAAGCCACAGAAAACCACCCATTCTTTCCCTTCCAGCTTCTTGCTTTCCTGTACTGCTCATAGAGAGGATAGCCATGGGGGTTGGGGAGCAGAGGGTGGGTGTAATGTGACAATAGTCTTGAGCCCAGAATTTTCTCTGGACTGTGCTAGGGAGGCTGGGATTGCACATGGGAAAAATACCATACCAAGAGAAAGACTCTCCTGCCCCCCAAACCTCTGTTTCACCAGTCTGCCATTTGCCTGAGTATCCACCATTTGAGTTGCTACTTTTAGGTAAAGGCATGAAAGATCCCTAATTAAATGCATTTCTTTGTAAGAGAACAGAATAAGCTATCACTAGTCTCTAACACCTTAGCATTAGGTTGATTTATCAGGAATAGACTCCTGAGGGAATGGGACACAGAATAGACAAATTTGATGGTGGGGAGGGAGATCTTGTAGTGTTTCTCAGTGAGGGTGGCACCAGCATTTTGGGCAGACAATTCTTTGTTATGTGGCTCTGTCCTATGTATTGCAGGATATTTAGCATTTCTAGTCACCAACCACTAATGCCAGTAGTGACTCCCAGTCATAACAATCAAACCAACACCTCCTCCACTTTCAAATGCACCCGAGGAGAAGGAACACACACCCCCCCACCACCAAAATTCAAAATCACATTCTGTTCATGGGCAGGTGAGGTGTCTGTAGTTTTACCAGTAACAGGCTGGGTGGAAGAGGAGGCCATCTGTGTGACCAGAGAGGCACCAGACAACCCCAAACTTCCATGTTAGCCTACCCATACCTGGCCTAAAGTTTTCAGCTGAGATTCCCTGCTGAGTGACTGACTATCTGAAGCTATTCATGTTTTCTGAGAGGAAGGCTTCCCTGAGATGAGGACCCATACTAATGAATATCCTGGCTCTCCTGGTCAGAAGACTTGTGGGATACTTCTTCAGTCTCCATTCACCAAAGGAATCCCTTGGAGGGCGTAGTCAATAAGAAATAACATCCACCCTTGGGTATTGAGAAACACCAGGCATCGGTGTCAGTTGTTACTTTAACACAATGATTTGGGGGAGGGGAAGATGGGCCTATGGCAAGAGCTGACCGCTGCCCTGATCAGTGCAGCAAGAGGGTTCTGGTCTTTTGGAGGAGGCTGAAAAGAGTACCAGACATGGATGTGAAAGGGGAAACTCGAGACTGTACCAATTTTGTAAGGGGCTTGTGCTGATCTAGACTGTTACCAAACTCAGACCCTCCCATCCGACTCTTAAAGCTGGTGTCAGTGCCTTAGAGTCTCCAATGAAGGGGTCCAGTAGTACACCAATAGGTGTTCTTACCTGAGAGGTCCAGCTACATCTTCCCCGGGCGTCTCTTGCATGAGCCATTTTTAGACACTGACTGACTGCCTTTTCCTCCATACCCTCAGTATTGAGGCACGGGCTGTGCTGTGTTTGAGCAGAAATGGGTGGATCTGAGAGCTGAATGCTACACGGTATACTGCCACATCAACCCAGGAGTTGAACTGAATCACTCAGTGGTCAGTCTGGCAACATCTTACTCCCATAAATCACAGAATTGTCTAATAGCCCAGGAGTCTTTGCATCATACCCAAAATGTCCCACCAGTAATTTCTAGATCAACATACAATATGCTCTACAGAATTCTGAATGCATGGAAGGCTCAAAAAGGAAACAGACTTGAAATGGAAGCCAAATCCCATTTCAAAAACTACCATCTCAGCCCAGGATATCTGTAACCTCTTGGTTGAGGAGGCTGTGTTCAGGGATAAGAAGCAGACAGAGAAAGGGCCTGGGCAGTCCCTTTAGCAACGGGGACCTGACAGGCAGTGGAACTGGAAGCCAGTCTTGGGCTGGGATGTCCATGAATAGCTCTGTCCCAGCTGTTCAGCTACGCTAAGTGTATCTTGTGGGGCTGGGTTCCCTAGTGGCCATGACCCAGTTCCTCTGGGACACCAGGGGTATGGATGGAATAGGGAGTTCGTAAAATCACCATTGTGTAAGTGATGATGCTATTAATAATAATAATGGCTCACAGTCACATTCACTGTGGAAGCCTTCCTAGTGCTTTATAGGCATCATCTCATTTAATCTTCACATTAAACCTATGAGGTAGATAAGTAGTCCCATTTTACAGATGGGAAACTGAACTTCTGAAAGGTCAAATGACTTGTCTAAGGTCATCTAGCCAGTAAGTAAGTGGCATAGCAAGGAGTAGGACTGACCTCCATGAGGAAGTGTCCACTGGGGCTCCAAAACTACACATCTGGCAAAGCAGAGAGAAGCCCATGCCTGCAGGGTGTGGGGAGAGCGAGGAGAAATTCTAGTTCTTTAAAAGTAGAGGTTTAAAGATGGTTATAGGAGGGATATGACCAGGGTAAGCTGAAGCAAGACTGGAAAACAGGAGGAGGAGAAAGTTTGCCTTTGGAGGGATGGTTTTCACTGTCCCCAAGCCAAGATTTGGCCCTACTCCACCTTGTCTTCCATGTGGCTAAGGCACAGGTCTCATGTAGTGTTAAGATCAGAGAGCATGTTCTCCCTGATCCAGCAGCTCAGCGCAGAGGCCCTCCTTTGATTTGGACATCCCAGAAGAGTAGATATCTTAAATTACTTGCCCCACCTACACCTGATATTTTGGAGAATGAGGCAAATGGCCATCAGATAAGCTACTCAATAAATACTTATTTGTTAATAGATTTTCTTTTTAAAATGCTTCTAAGAGATGTCCTGAGCTCAAGTCACACTCAGTTCAATCACCTATACCTTCTTCCCTTGCATCTCCAGATCTAGGAAAAGCTTGTCGCTGGTCACAAGATACTTTAGCCCTGCAGCTCCCTCCCAGTTCCTCACTAGCTACACAGTTCAACCAAGAGGTGGCCTTGTAAATTCCAGTGTCAGAGGAGGCATAAAGAAGAATTTGAATTTTTGAATTCAGACTGGCCTTGCCTTGCCTCCAGGCAGTTGAGGACATCTTGAGTGTCAAGCAGAAAACATTTCAAAATATATTGGCAATGCCTGTCTAAATCCAGCCTCTACTGTTAAAATGGGAAGGATTTCAACACTACAGATAAAGAATGTGTTGAAAAGACAAGTCAGGAAACTGAGTTTTAAAAAGTTAGAAAGATTGTGTGATTATTGCCATCCACAATCTAACTTGAGAGCAATCTGCAAAAGAAAGCAATGATTTCTTAGTTGACTCTAACATGCAAGGTCTCAGGTCAGGACATTTTGGGTGATGGAAACAGGCGGAATCACTGTTGGTGGTAGTGGTGGTGGTGCTCCTGTTGATAATGATAATGGTGTTTACAAGGGACAAAACTTACGGAGCTTTATATGTTTTGAAGTGTTTTACAGGTAGATTATATCAGTTGATTCCCCATGAGTATTGTTGTTCTACCATATTTTAGAGAGGCACAGAGTGATTCAGATATTTGTCCAAGGTAACCAGTACTGAGCAAAATTGTTTAACTTTGATTAGAGGGTGGTATGGATGGACCCTCCCCTGATTGCTGTTTCCTGCTAAACAAATGCTCGGGATCTACAGTAAACAGAGGACTCAGTACCTCCAAAGGACCAGTAATGGCTGAAGTGACACTTGTCAAAGTGTGGCTCCTCCGAGCTAACACCGGCCTTCTTCTCCACTTCTGTCCCTAGGCCTCCCCCAGCCCACTTAACTTGCTCTCACTCTCTTTTTACTAATCAAAACCCTTCCTTTCCTTCAAGGCCCAACTCAGCTGCATCTGACTATTCCAAACCACACTGATTTGTCTTGTTTCTAAATTCTGCTTTGGGTCATGCATCCTTTTGAGAACCTGATGAAAGCTATAGACCTTTATCCTAAAAGGATGTGTGTAGGCATGCGTGGCACATGTGTGTGCTTGTGCTCTCTGTCTCTCTCTCATTCTCTCTCTCTCTCTCTCTCTCTCTCTCTCTCTCACACACACACACACACCCCTTGGAGTATGTAATTTTAATCCTCGGGCTAATTTAAAGAAAGAATTTCCCTAAAGGCCCGATGAAGGAAACCTGGGAATAGGCAGCTTGTATGTGGAATCACTCTCCTTCCCTGACTTTCTCCCACCCTTTTTTGACAACCTCTTTCCCCAGACCCTATGCCTACCCACCCTGTCCTCTATTCTCTAATTTCATGCTGTCCTTGATTGCCCAGGGTTCATCACCACTATGGCCCTCTCCATCCATCTGGTGAGTCTCATTCTGTCAGGACTCAGTCTGGCACAGTGAGCTGGCTCACTTGACATGCAGAATCTGGGTATTAAGTTTGGCAGAGATCTTCAGACCAATCAGGACTTGTACTTGAATTGGAGTCTTCTAGAAATAATAGGGAGCTATGGGAGGGCCTTTCAGAACTACTGCTCATTTCACCTATGAGAAAGACCATTCCTGTCTCCTCTAGAATACATGATACACTTGCTGTTGACCTACACAGGACTGAGATAACAGGCTATAACTAAATATGAGGAGAGGAAAAAGGCCAAGTCACTTAGATAATGGTCTTCCCTAAACAGCTGTCTTCAAACTCTTTGTATTTGAGGTTCTGCCACTGTTATCGCTGGCATACCATTCCTTCACACACCTTCCCCAATAGTTTTCAATCAGAACTGTAAGAGGGGAAGAGTTTAGTAAATGAGTCCTTACGGAAATTGGCTCCAACTCCTCCTCATGGGATAAAGTCCACTGGATGGAAAGCTTGTCCAGGGAGGCCACAGTGGTGGTGTAGAGGCAGAGGAGAGTGACATCAGATCCAACAGTCACATTCACGAAACTGTCTGGGATGGTCACTTGCACCATACTAACCTGACCTGAAAAGATAATCATCAAAAAGACAATGGCACACATTTATATTCCAACGACACTTTTGCATTACAAAACACTTTCGAAGGCATCTTATTTGAGAAATCCAAGGTGAGGAGCAGAAGGCAGAATAGACCATATAGGAAAGCTGAGCAAGTAATTGGGATGGGGGAGGGGAGTTTCTAACAAATTACAATGTGAAGATGCTCAAATCCTAAGTGATGGTGAAGTAATAACACTGAACTGGAAATTCCTTCTATGTAAGGATGGTCTTACACAGAGGTTCTTAAAGTCTTGTCCTGGGACTCCAAAAGGTCTGTGAGTATGGAGAACAACCAGCCCAGTTTTCCCAGGACCAAGATGGTTCCTTGGATGTAGGACTTTTAGTTTTAAAATTGGGTAAGTCTCAGGTGAACCACGCTGATTTTGCTAGGACTTTTAGTACTATTTTAAACCAAGAAAATCCCAGACAAACCAGAATGAGTTGGTCAGCCTATCCCTAAGACCATTTTGGGAGCCTGCAAGATTAAAATTAATTCACAATAATACTATGATGTTATTTTTCTTTTTCATTCTCATCCTCTCATGAGTGCACAATGGAGTTTTCCAGAAGCTATGTGACAGGTAATGATGTCATTGCTCTGGTGGCTGATGGAATATGTGCTTGTGTTTTTTGTTTTTTTTGTTTTTGTTGTTGTTGTTGTTGTGAGACAGAGTCTTGCTCTTTTGCCTGGGCTACAGTGCCATGGCATCAGCCTAGCTCACAGCAACCTCAAACTCCTGGGCTTAAGCAATCCTTCTGCCTCAGCCTCCCCAGTAGCTGGGACTACAGTCACGTGCCACCATGCCCAGCTAATTTTTTCTATGTATATTTAATTGTCCTGGTAATTTATCTCTATTTTTAGTAGAGACGGGGTCTCCCTCTTGCTCAGGCTGGTCTCAAACTCCTGACCTTGAGCGATCCTCCTGCCTCAGCCTCCCAGAGTGCTAGGATTACAGGCGTGAGCCACCATGCCCAGCCCTGTGCTTGTGTATTTTTCTGTTTAATTTTTTTTCAGTTTCAATTTCTAACACAGTAAATATAGATAGAAATAACTCACATAGGGAAAGCTCTTTTGGGTCCTCGATAACTTTTAATTAAAAATTTTATTGAGATAGTCGTAGATTAACATGCAGTTCTAATAAATAAGATAGATTCCATGTACACCTTACCCAGTTCCACCCAATGGTAATATTTTCTAAAGCTATAGTATAATATCACAATTGGGTTACTGACGTTGATACAACCCACTGACCTTATTCCTATTTCTCCAGTTTTCCTTGTACCCCTGTGTGTGTGTGTGTGCATTTAGTTGTATACAATTTTATTATGTGCGTAGTTCCATGTATCCAACACCACAGTCAAGATACTGAACAGTGCCATCCCCACAAAGATCCTTCATGTTACCCTTTTATAATCACACCCACCTTACTCCTGCATCTCATCCCTGTTCCTAACCATTGGCAACCACTAATCTGTCTTCCATTTCCAAAATTTTGTCATTTCACAAATGTTATATAAATGGAATCATGGTAACTTTTTGGAATTGGTTCATTTCGCTCAGCATAATTACCTAAAAATTCACCCAAGGATGTTGTATGTATCAGTAGTTTTTTTTTTTTTATTGTTTAGTAGTATTTGAAGGTGTACATATACCACAGTTTGTTTAACCATTATCCATTTAAGGACATCTGGACTGTTTCCAGTTTTTGCTTATTGAATAAAATTCCAATGAACATTCATGTACAGATTTTGGTGTGAACATAAATTTTCATTTCTCTGGGACAAATGCCCAAGAATGCAATTGTTGGGTCATATGGTAGCTGTATGTTTAGTTTTATAAAAAACAGCCATACTTTTTTCCAGAGTGATTGTACTATTAATACATTCCCACCAATAATGCATGAGAGATCCAGTTTTTTTGCATCCTCACTAGCATTTCATGTTGTCACTATTTTCTACTTTAGCCATTCTGGCAGGTGTGCACTAGTATGTTACTGGGGTTTTAATTTGCATTTCCCTAATAGTTAATGATACTAAACATCTCTTTATGGGACGATTTGCCATTTGTACATCTTCTTCAGTGAAATGTCTGTTCATATCATTTGCCCATTTTCTAATTGCATTGTTTAGGGTTTTTTTTAGAATTGAGTTTTGGCATTCTCTATATAATCTCAATGCTAGTCATTTGTTGAGTAGAGAGTTTTCTTTTTTCCTTTCCAATCTGTATACATTTTATTTCTTTTATTGCCTAATTGCAGTGGCTGTAACTTCCAGTACTATGTTGAATAAGAGGTGAGACTAGACATCCTTGCCTTGTTCCCAATCGTAGGGGAAAGCATTCAGCCTTTCACCATTAAGTACAATGTTAGCTCTAGGTGACTTGCAGTTGCTCTTTATCAAGTTGAGGCAATTCTCCTCTGTAGTTGGTTGAATTGTGTCTCCCAGAAAGATAAGTCCAAGTCCTAACACCTAATATCTGTGAATGTGAGCTTATTTAGAAATAAGGTCTTTGCAGATATAATTAAGGATCTCGAAATGAGATCATCATGGATTTAGGGTGGGCCTGAATTGCTAAGAGTTTTGGTATCAGGGTAATAATGGCTTAATAAAATGAGTTGGAAGTGTTCCTTCACCTTCTCTTCTATTTTTCGGAAGAGAATGTGTAAAATTGATGTTAATGATTCTTTAAAGGTTTGGTAGAATTATTTGCTAAAACTATCTAGGCCTGGAGATTTCTTTTGTAGAAACCTGTCTTTGTAAAAAAAAAGGAGAGAGGGATTTGACACACAGACACACAGAGGGAAAGGCCACGTGAAGATGGAGGCAGAGATTGGAGTGATGCATCTATAAGCCAAGGAATACCGAGAATTGCCGGAAGCCATCTAGGAGAAACTCACGGCCCAGATTCTCCCTCGAAACTTCCCAGAAGAAACCAACTCTGCCAACAGTTTGATTTAGGACTTTTAGCCTCCAGAACTGTGAGAGAATAAATTTCTTTTGTTTTAAGCCACCCAGTTTGTGGCATTTTGTTACAGCAGCTCTGGTAAACGAATACGCCCTCTATTCCTAACCTCTGTTCTAAGAGTTTTTTTTTTTAAATCATTAATGAGTTTTGAATTTTGTCAAATGCTTTTTCTGCATCAATTGATAGGATCACATTTTTGTCTTTAGCCTGTTGATATGGTGAATTACAATGAATGGTTTTTGAATGTTGAACCAGCCTTACAAACCTGAAATAAATCCCACTTGGTTGTGGGGTATAATTCTTTTCATACATTGCATGATTCAATTTGCTAGTGTTTTGTTAAGGATTTTTGCATCTAAGTTCATGAGAGAGGAACTTTTAAAATTATGAATTCAATTTCTTTAATGGTTATAGAGCTATTCAGATTATCTATTGCATATGGGGTGAGTTTAGCAGTTTGCTGTTTTTGAGAAATTGGCCCATTTTTTTCTAAGCTGTCAAATATATGAATGTGAAGTTGTTGATAGTCCCTCAAAATGTTTTAATGACTGCAGGATCTGTCGTGATAACCCATGTTTCATTTCTGATATTAGTGATTTGTGTCTTATCTCTTATTATTTTTATTAGTCTTGCTAGAGGTTTGTCAATTTTATTGATTTTTTTTCAAAGAAACAGATTTTCGTTTCATTGATTTTTCCCTATAGTTTTTCTATTTCGATTCCATTGATTTCCACTCTTTATTATTCCCTTCCTTCCACTTGCTTTGGGTTTATTTTAGCCTTCTTTTTCTAGCTCCTTGTTGTGAAATTTAGATTATTGGCTTAAGACCTTTCTTCATTTCTAATGTAAGCATTTAGTGTTATAAATTTCTCTCTCAGCATTGCTTTAGCTGTGTGTTACATATTTCTATATGTTGTATTGTCATTTTCACTCAGTTCTACGTACTTTTTTTTTTTTTTTGAGACAGAGTGTCACTCTGTTGCCCTGGCTAGAGTGCCATGGCGTCAGCCTAGCTCACAGCAACCTCACACTCCTGGGCTCAAGTGATCCTCCTGCCTCAGGCTCCCAAGTAGCTGGGACTACAGGCACGCGCCACCATGCCCGGCTAATTTTTCTATATATTTTTAGTTGTACAGCTAATTTCTTTCAATTTTTTTAGTAGAGACGGGGTCTCGCTCTTGCTCAGGCTGGTCTCGAACTCCTGAGCTCAAACTATCCACCCGCCTCGGCCTCCCAGAGTGCTAGGATTACAGGCATGAGCCACCACGCCCAGTCCAGTTCTACGTACTTTTAAAAAATTCCCTTTGAGACTTCCTTTTGATCCATGGATTATTTAGTAGTGTGTTGTTTAATTTTAATGTGTTTAGAGACTTTTCTGTTACCAACTTCTAGTTTCATTCCATTGTGGTCAGAGAGCATACTCTGTATGATTTCAATTATTTGAAATTTGTTTGGGTTTGTTTTATGGCCAAGCACATGGGCTACCTTACTGAATGTTCTGTAGGTGCTTGAGAGAAAAGTGCATTCTGCTGTTGTTGGATAGAGTGCTCTATACCAAGAGATGTAATTTAAAACACTATGAATAAATTGAGATGGAATGATAAAAATATTCAATTAGATCCTATTAATTGATTGTCTTTTTAAGATCTTCCATATCTTTGCTGATGTTCTTCTGTCTACTAGACTTTTCAGTTTCTGATAAGGGGTGTTGAATTTTCCACTGTAATTGTGGATTTGTCTCTTTCTTCTTTTAGCTCAATCCGTTTCTGTTCATGAATTCTGAGACCTTCTTCTTTAGTATGTACACATTAAGAATCGTTATGTCTTCCTGCTGGATTGACCCTTTTATCATTAGGTAATGTCTCTTTTTGTCTCTAGGAATTTTATCTGCTCTGAAGTCTACTTTACCAGATATTAATATAGCTACTCTAGATTTTTTAAAATTATATTTATATGGTATATATTTTTTCTCTTCTTACTTTCAATCTACCTATGTCACT